TCTACCTTCCTCCCCCCGCCACTTCCCCCACTCACAGCCTCTGCTCCACTTTGCCTCTTCCCCCCCTTATCACCTTACCCTTGCTCCAGTGCCAGCAGGTTTCACCCTCGCTCCAGGTTGCCCCGCTTATTGCCTTGTACTCTATTCCAAGATAAGGAGCTTTTTCCTCCATGTTAAATGGGGAAAAACACCTCTTCTTGGAATCAAATAAATATGGTACCTTGGTTGCCCAGTGGTAATTAGTTTAATAAAAATTCTCCAAGTGATGCCCCTAGGATTGACAGCACCTAAACAGCAAGGCACGTGGGCTTGCCAACAAAACACCTTCACCAAAATATACTAGTTAAGGTTACCAAGGGACTTGGCTGAGATGCATCAACATAATGGATGGACTGCTGAGGAAATGCCTGCATTTCAATGTGCAGAAAAGCAGCAGTTGCCACTGCCGAGTAAAACAACATATGGCTGAAACAGGAAAGAAACCCCAACTTATTGGTTGGACAGATACTGTGGGATACCAGATAATGATGGTACAAGAATGGGTCTAAAGCATACAGCCTTTAAGGCAAATGCTTTTTGTACTGAATTATTTTGGGACGTTTTATTTCATTATTTAATATTATTTTTGGGCCACTATTTATGGAATTCCCCCCCACCCCGTGTCAACATAGAGCATCATGGGAGAAATTCATAGCACAGTATTTTCTCTTTATATTAAGGTCTTAACTAACGAAGCTACAGCACTACATAAGTAGCTCCCGAGGCACCCTGTCCATGTGATTCAGGAATTTGAGTTCATAAATAATACTTGACATTACAGAAGGAACACACAAAACATATATCTTTTCATACCAGTATAAATTTCTGGTTTGTAACGAGTTTGCCCCATAAAGGAACATAAAGGGAGCTCCATTAACCGGAAAATGTAACAACCATTTCCTCTGAGTCTCATTTCTAATGTGAAATTTACAGTCAGCATTTTCCAGGCCTCCAGGTAATTGTTAGTACCAAAAAACCCCACAAAACCTTGAAATCAATTACCTTTGGTATAGTATAAGCAGAAAAATCTGGGAAGCGAGAAATATCATAAAGGCAAGAAATACCATATATTTTGCATCCAGTAGCCTCCATAAAAAATTTTGCCCATCAACCATGTATGGCTAGAAAGGCTTGTCTCTTTTCTTTTACATGGAATAGACAGGGTAAATATCTTCCAGGTAAAACTGTGTGCATGACTCACTCCATTAATTTAGATTCCCTACACTACCATCGGAGAAGAAGCTATTACCAGCATATATGGTATTACTGAGCTATTAGCTCCCTTAAGGGTGAGCGCATGTCCTTCATGCAAGCGGATCATATCAAGGCCAAATCAGGAAAGCAAGATCTATCTAAATTTTTTAGCACCCATGTTTTAGCAGTGGAAATTAATCCTGTGTATGTCTGCCTTCCACACACTCACATAAAGCATTAACATCAACAGAAGAAGAGACTCTAAAAAGTCCAGCTACAGCAAGTCTATAAAAACCTTTGAAGTGATTACTTTGCTGAGAGGTATTGCTGTGAAGGGAGTCCATTCATCTCAAATACAATTGGATCCAAAGCTAAACTGCTTGCTAAGCAAATGCCTCAGCCCTCAAATCTCCATTAACACTAAATTGAGCATTAAAACTGCTCGTTAAGTTGCACCAACTGCGTTAATGCCGTTCAGCCTCCTGTACCTTGTACTTGGTGTTTGCAGGAATGTTGGTTTTCCAGCGCACTGTGTAGTAGCGAGCATCTGTGATCTTCTGATTCTTCGGCAGAGAGTTGTCTGCCCAAGTGATCCTTATGGTGTCATGACTCAGAATGGAAGCCTGAACGCCCACTGGCGGCATCATGGGGGAGGGATCTGGCACTGGAGTGTATGGAGCATTAATAACAAATACATCAACTTCAGAAGTGTCTAGGGAATTGATGGGTAAAAAGTAGTGTATTATAATTAAAACGGGGAAGGTGGAATTTTAATGTAAACAAAAACAAAAAGGGGAATGCAGGGTAATATAATGGAATGAAAGGTGAGAAATGGAAAAAAAAAGAGAGAAAAGCCAGAGTTAATAGGCAACATAAAACTAATAGCTATTCAATCCTGCTCCCTTCTTAAGGCATGGGTTACAAATAAAAATATGCTACAGACTTTGCCACTTAATCATATTAGTGTCAATGGAGTTCAAACATCATACAACAATCCTCAAATATTATCAGAATAGAAACATAAATTCATCCATTGGCTTTATCTGCCTGAAAACATTTGTTTATTCCTTCTTTGGAAAACAGTGGTGGGAGAAAGAACAGGGATGAAGTCAACTTCTTAGAGGTAGGTAATTCATTGTTCTGACAAGATTGGAGGGAAACTGCCATTATCTTTTTTAAGTGTTTTGAGCAAAAAAACTGTGTCTCATCTAAAACAAAGTTAATTCAGGAAATTCAAACAGCAAGTTTCCCCAGAAGTCTAACAAAATTCCAGAACTTCAAAAGAAAGATTAACACATACAGCAAAGCTCATAAATAAACAACTATACCTTAATAAAAAAAATAAAATGCTACACAAGGCTAGAATGTAGAATGAGCCATAAATTAACAACACCTCAGCTTACTTAGCTTAAAATCTAAGGCTATGGCTACATGAAGAAAATATCACAAGGTATGACTTTACACAGAGCACTTGCTACTCTGCATTAGCTGCCTGTGTGTATGCTCTTACCCCACAATAAATGCAAGGTAGGTAGCTTACCTATTTTCACTCCCGCTTCCACTCACATTTGCCCTGGGATAAGAGCATGCGCACAGACAGTCACCAGAAAGTAGTCAATCTCTTGAATGCCCTTGCTTAACTCCTGGTAACTTGTTTGTGTAGCCATACCCCTAGGCAATATGAGGTTCATAAGCAGCTCATTTACAAAGTTGCTGCAAATTGAAATTTGAACATGTCATACAGCAAGTGTGTGCATGATAGGCAGTCTCAGTTTGAAAGGTGTAACAAATATTATAGTTTGTTGAGACATCTGTAAAAGATCAGATTTGGGGCCACGAATTTAGGACTGCACATGTATAAACTGCACTAAGCAAACCAACATACTGAAATGAGAACATCTGTAAATAGCTGTAAGGTAAACTCTAAAATTAAAACCAAATATATATCACTTATATAAGCATATGGCTTTGGTTAGTTGGCTTAAAGATTTAAGTTAACTACTGAGTCAACAGTGTGAATCAGTTTAGGACACAAAGAATACCTGAGCACAGGAGACAACCCCGTAATGTTGCATTATTTTACTGGAACAAAGGGTAAGGATTTTTAGCTGTGTGAAAACAAGAAGTCAACCATTGGGCTTTACCTGTCTGTGACCTGGTCACTGCACTCTCATAGAGTGGGATGCCTTCGCCAACATTGTTGAAAGCTTTCAGAGTTATGACATAGTGGGAACTTGGATCTGATGGAAGAAGAATTCAAATATATATTTTTAGGGCAAATAAATCATTGCGAACTGTTAATGGCTCCTATTTCCTACTTCCAATTTTTCTCCATTTTGTTCACTATCTTACTTGTAAGGGAGATAAGGGTATATAATGATCAGCAAAATTAAAACCGAGTTTCCTCAATGACAACTACTTCTGGTGTACAAAGTTTGTCTTCTTATACTGCCTGAAATCTATACACACCACAATTCGAACAGAAGCCCAGACAAGATAACTTTGAGGAGAATACCAACAACATGCTCATGCTGAAAGTTTTATAACCTCACCGTGTTAATCTTAGGCCTGATTATGCTGAAACCCAAAGCAGTTCCCAAGTCTATCACCTATTGCTTCAAAAGTCTTTACATACTACAACCAAGCTACTGAATGACTATTCTGTGCCTTGCTTTACACAAAAGAAGATTTTTTTGGTCCATTCTGGAGAGCTTATTATTAAAGCACGTGCCGTTAAATCCAGATTTTCCCAGTGACAGAATGGAAGAAACTGGGCAGGGCTACTTGGCTCAACCCAAAAAGTTTTATTACAAATTCAAAAGAAACACCAAGACATGCCCACAGACAGAAGTTAAGACGAAATGAAGCAGAAAAATGCTTCAACTCTGTAAATGTTAGATCCCTGTTTTAAAAAGAAACAACAAGGAAAAAAAAAGCTTTTTAACACAAAAATGAGATTACAGGCAGTCCTCAGACTTACAACACAACTGGTTCCTGAAAACCACGTCTTAAGCCAAAACGTTGCAACTCAGAACCGATTTTCCCATAGGAAACAATGTTATAAATGGGGGATTGGTTCCTGAACTGAGGCCTGATACCCTATTTTCACCAAAAATAACCTAGAATTTTGTACTCAATCAATTACAGATGAGTAATATAGCTACATTAATGTATTTATATTGTAAATAGCAATCATATTGATTTGGAAGGACTTCTCTGAGGAGACTTTGATGGACTTTTTGAAGGGCTCTTGGCTGGAGTCTTCTCAGGAGTCTTGGCTGCAGGATTTTCTGGAGTCTTGCCCGCTTTCTTAAAGAACGTGTCCAAGGAAGTTTGGACAGATGCTCTCCAGGGAGATGGGTGACGCAGTATCAGATCAAGTCTTGTAAAGTCAAAATTGACGTCAGAAAGTTGAAACAGGGTGTCAAGTTATAAAAGTAAGTGCAAAACATTGTAACTTGAAACGCTGTTAAGTTGAGGACTGCCTGTATTATAAATGTCAGTCAGATATGGAGCCATAGCACAGAACGTTCATATTGAAAGAGTTTTGAAAGAGACCTGTCTGTATTTTAATTTCTTTTTAAAATATGACCTGTCTGTATTTTAAATCTTTTTAAAAAAAAATACTGTGCCTTGGAAAATACTGACACAAAGCAGGTTAAAATTTAGGAAACAATGTTCTTGAATTGTTCTCACCTAAGTTCTCAATGGTGTAATATCTCTGTTTGTAGTCCACTTTGATGGTCTGTGCATGAGGACTGCCAACACCATACCCTATAGCATATCCTCTCACCACAATATTCTGATTTTCAGGAGGCGTCCAGCTTACTACTATACTGGTAACCAGTGGACGGACATGTAACGAACTTGGTACTTCAGGAACGCGAGTTTCTGTTAAATAAAAAAAACAATTTAAGGATTTATCCAAAACAAAATAAAGCAAAATACTCCTGTATACTAGTCAGATCCAGTACATTCTCAATGTCTTCACAAAGTAATGCTAATATTTTAGGAAATCCCTTCTACCCCCCAGCTTACATTTTTCTTTTCTTTTTCAGTCCTCTAAAAGGAGGGCTACAGAAAGGAAAGAGTACCATTCATTCTTCTGTGCATAGTAACAAAGTAAAAACTAAAAAGAAAATGGAAAATCCTACCAAAAACAAAGGGCTGCTATAATAGAAAAATATAAAGAAAAAAAATCTTTAAAAATTAAGTTAATTTTGTGTATTACTATATATACCAATTCATACTTCTAAAACTTATGCTTCTTAAATATCTCTTGAACAAGGACTTCTGCAGTATAGCAAAATATCACTTATACCTTATGGAGACAGATCTGTTTGACTTTCTGTAGTTTTTTTCATTTACTTTGCTGCTTCTATAATTTTACATAATTTGCTTAAGTGTTTATCCCCGTCTGTCCCCACAGCCAATCTTCATTTTCCTGCATGTTAATGCAATGCAGCTTACACAGCTGACTT